GCGTGGAGCGGGGCAGCAAGGCGGGCGACAAAGCGTGCACAAACGGGCCAAAGAGGGGGAGGGAGAAGGGGGGGGGGGAGGGGAGGCGGTGCCGGGGCGTGCTGGCAGGATGCTGTCTGGGCCGGCGCCTCTTCTCGCCGGCCCGGGCGGTGCACCTGCCTCGGCGGCCATGTGCCCGGCGCGCGCCGCAGGGCCGGGGACACTCTTTCTCCCCGCGAGCGAGGCCGACCGCCGCCGCTGCCCCGGGTGGGGGAGATGGGGGGCGGGAGCGGGGGGGGGGGGGTGGAGCCGGCGCATGGCCGGCCCGGCGCACGCGGCCTGGCTGCCGACGCAGGCAGCCACCAGGCGCGAGGCGGGGGCGGGGCTCCCGCCGGACGACCACCACGCGGGCGTTGGAGCGCCGGGTCACGTCGCCGCACGTGATCGCGGACATGAGGCCCGCGCGGCGGTCGTCCGGCCGCGGGCCGTGTGCCGGCCGTCGGGCCGGATGGCTGTGGCCGGCGCGGCTGCCGCGCTGCCGCCTCGCTGGGGGAGCTCTCTCCTTGGCTGGCGCGCGGGCGCGTGTCCGGGGCGGGGGCGTAGCCGGCGTTGGCCGCCCGCGTGCCCTGCCGTCGGGCCCGGGAGGGGGGGCGGGGAGATCTGCCCTCGCGGCGCGGGCGGGCGCTCTTTTGGGCCACAGTACCCGGCGTCGGTCCCCGTGTGGTGGCCCTGCCACTGCCCTCTCCTTCCCCCCCTCCCCCTCGCCCCGCCTCCTCCCCGCCTCTCGGTCTTCCTTTCCCCCCTCTCCCTCTCCTCCGACCTTTCTCGCTCCCCGCCCGGTGTCCGACGCGTATCTCCACTCAACAGCATGGCCGAAAATGTCCACTCACGGCTTGAGGTCATGGTGCCGGACCTCAAGCAGTTCATTGAGATCGGCTACTTCACCCCGGTGCGTGCATGCTCCCGTCCGCGCCCATGTGGCCCTGGCGGCTCTGTGTATGCCTGGCTGACATCCCCCCCCTCCCCTGACCTCTCGCTCGCTCCCATGCCCGCCATCCTCACAGGAGGAGGTCCGGGCGATCGTCAAGAAGCGCACCGACTTCGAGTACAAGCTTCGCCGACGCATCCCCGTGAAGCTGGACTACCTGCGCTACATCCAGTATGAGATGAATCTGGAGAGTCTGCGCGCGCAGCGGAAGCAGCGCCTCGGTGCGTTCCCCCTCCCCCCCCCCCTTTTGCCGACTCGCATGGCTCGCGGTTGCCCGTCCCGGTGCGCGCAACACCGTCTGACCCCGGGTTCCCCCCCCCCCCGGCGCAGGCCTCTACAAGCACAACCCCGTGGACTATGCGATCACGAACAACATCACCACCATCTTCGACCGGGCCATGATGCGCTTCTCCGGGGACACGCGCCTGTGGGTGGACTACATCCGGTTCCTGCTGGCGTACAACCGCCTGGACCGGGCGGCGGGCATCCTCTCGCGGGCGGTTCTCTCCCGGCCGACCGAGCCGCTCTTCTGGATCATGGCAGCCAGCTTCGAGCTGGACAAGCGGTCCAACTTCGACACGGCGCGGGCCCTGCTCCAGCGCGGCGCCCGGCTGAACCGCTCCAATGACGTGTCTCTCTGGGTGGAGTACCTGCGCCTGGAGACGCTGTTCATCGAGCGGATCCGCGCGCGCCGGGCCATGCTGGGCCTGTCGCGGCCGGGTGTGGCCGACCCCGAGGCCGCCGCCGGCCAGGCGGTCTCCGTGCCGGAGCTCCCGCAGGAGACCGGGTCCACTGGCGACGGCGGGTCGGACTCGGATGCGGCCCAGTCGTCGGACGAGTCGGCTGCCGGTGGTGGCCCGGCGGCCGACGAGGCCATGTCCGGCATCATTGCCCTGAGCTCGGATGTCACCCGGTCGGCGGGGGCCGCGCCGGCCGACGCCGCCGGGCAGACCGACGCCCAGAAGGCCAGCCTGGCGCATGTTCTCTCGGGCGCCATCCCCAAGATGATCATCAAGAGCGCCTTTGAGGGTGCGTCTGGGCGTGTGGTCTTCTGTTGTGTCCTTCCTGTGTGGCGAGTTCTGCCCCCCTGTCTGTGTCTGTCTGTGTCTGTGTCTGTCGGTCTCTTTTCCCCTTCCTCCCTCTCTCCGCCCCCTCTTGCGCTCCCTCTCACGCCCCCTCTCACGCCCGGTCGCTCCTTTCCACACCCGGATGCAGCCCACCCCGAGAGCCTGGCGCTGCGCATCCGCTTCATGGAGATCCTTCGGTCCTCGTACGGCCACCGCCTGACCGAGTGCCTGGATATGGTCTACGAGAGGTGCGTCCTTTCCCCGCCGCTTGCCTCCCCCTCTCCCCCCCCTCTCTCTCTCTCTCTCTCTCTTTCTCTCCCCATCTCCCCGCTTGCCTCGACTGACCGCCCCCCGTACACACACACACACACACACACACACACACACACATCCCACACAGCCTCCAGAATGACTTCCCCTTCCACCCGCACGCCCTGACGCTGGTCATCCGCCGGGAGGTGGACCGCCTGCTGTTCGTGCCGCCGCAGCCGCGGAGCTCCGAGTCGGCCACCGCCCTGGCCGACCAGGACGACCCGCCGGCCGCCCCGCCGGCCGAGGACATCCTGCGGGCCCAGGTGGCCGTGGCCATCACCCAGATGGAGGACGGCGTGCTGTCGCTGCTGGACGAGCTGACCTCGATCGACGCCCGGACCATCTGCTGGCTGGCCTTCATCGACTCGCTGCAAGACCTGGCGGCCGATCCGCGCATCAAGAAGCTCGGCCTGGTGCGTGTTCTTTTTTTCCTGTCGGCGTTGCTGTGCCTCTGCCCAGCGGGTTTTGCTTCCCCTTCTGCGCTGCCTCTTCTGCCTCTTGCTCTCGCGGCCCTTCCTTACACCCACCCACATTGGGGCACATCGGCCCGCCCATGCGCGCAGAGTGCCGGCCTCTCGGCGCAGCTGTGCTCCTCCATGCTGGAGTGCGTCTCGCGCGGGGACCTCCTTCGGCCGGAGCTCTTCAGCGCCTGGGCCGACTCCATCGACCTGGCCGAGGGCACCGAGCACGCCGGGCACCTGCTGGCGGCCATCGACGGCGTGCTGCAGGGGAAGTTCGCCGCGTCGGCCACCGCCCCGGCCGAGGAGTCGGACTCCGACTCCGAAGCCGAGGAGGAGGAGGGCGACGACGACGACGACGGCTCGGACACCGACAGCGATTCCGACGACGCGGCCCCGGCCCCGGCCCCGGCCCCGACTGCCGGGCAACTTGACCAGCTGAATGCCCTGAAGGTCCGGCTGCTGGTGCGCGGGGCCGAGGCCACCGCGGCCGCGGCCGCCGACAGCACCGGCCCCTTTGCCCCGGGCCAGGTGTCGGACTTCTTCCTGGGGCTGGTGCCGACCGAGGCGCTGGCCGGGCTCAAGCTCCTGGATGACTTTGTCCCCTGGGCGGAGAAGGCCCTGCCGGAGGTGTATACCCGGGCCTTTGTGAAGGACCTTTACGAGGTGCGCCGCGGGGTGCCTGCTGCTTCTGCGGTTTCCTCTTCTTCCTCCCTTTTTTTTTTCTCTTTCCCCCGGCCCCGGCGCCTGCATACCTGACACGCCTGCATACCTGGCGACACGCCTGCGCCGCGACCGGCTGGCCGGGCTGGTGCGGGCTGGCATGCCATGTCCCCCCCCGGGGGCTGGACCACAGAAATGGACCTTCATCGGGCTGGCCTGCTCCGAAGCCAGCTTGCTGTCTTTCGTTCGGTGGATTGTGGCCGGGCCGGCCCCCTGGCATGGGGCCCTGCTGGACCTGAGCCAGCGTGCCCTCGGCCTGGCCGCCCAGCCGCTGGCCGGGCTGGAGCTGATCCTTCACCACCTGCTGCCGAGCAAGCAGTCGGCCCAGCAGCCGGCGGCCGGCGAGGAGGCTGCCCCGCAGCGGGTGGCCTTCACGGCGCCCCAGCTGAAGCAGCTGGAGCGCCTGCTGGAGGCGACGACCGCGGCGCTGGCCCCCGGGGCCAGCGGCTTCGCCATGCTCCGGACCCCGGGGGCGTCGGCCGCCACGGGCACCCTGACGGCGGCGGCGGCCGCCGACCACCACCAGTCGACCCTGGTGCGGGGGGTGTCGCGCGCGGCCGCGGTCTGGCTCAAGTGGATTGCCTTTGAGCTGGCCCAGGGGAACCCCAAGCGCGTGATCAGCCTCTACGAGCGGGCTGTCCGCTCGGTGCCCGATGCCGATGCCTTCGTCCAGGCGTACAACCGCCTGTGAGGGAGGCGCGTCGGCCGGCGGACCGGCGGGCCGTCGCTCCTTTTGGGGGGCGTCCGCTTCCGCCCTTCGGCCTCGGTGTTGCTGTCCCATGGTGCTGTGCCGCGCGGTGCTCACGGGCATGTGCTTCTTCCCTGGCCGGTCGGCCCCGGCCCCTTGCCTCTCCGTGGGGTGCCCCCGGCCCCTTGGCGCGCGCGCGCGCGCGCACACCCGCCCGCCCGCCCGCTCGCCCTCCACCTTCCCCTGCTCTCTTCCCCCCTTCCCCCCCCCCCCTCCCTTCCCGAAATAAAATAGACTCAGCCCCCTCCCAGCCCAGCCGCCTGGCTCCGGCCGTGCCGAACCCGACGAGCCGGGCCTCATGTCACTTGTCAGCCCCGATGGGAGGGGGAGTTTGGTTTTGTGCTTGGCTCTTGTTCTCTATGCTTGGCCGCTTGGCGCTGTGCCGCGCGGCCGGGAGGCCCGGCGCGTGGTTCGGCCCTCTCGGAGCACGGGCCCGTCGCCGCGGGCCGATGCCCGGGCCTGGTGGCAGCCGGTTGGCACGCCGGCTGCCGGCCCGAGTGTACCGGTCCCACACAACAAGGCCAGGCACCATCGCATGGAGGGTGACACCCGTGTGCCCCTGACTGGCGGGACATTGGTCCGCGGCTTGCGCGTGAGAGGGCCGCCCCGGGGGTCGACGGGAGCGGCACAAGCTGGCCTCCTCCCTCCCCCCTCCCCCCGCCCGGGCAGCGGGCGCTATTTCCCCACGGCCAGGCTCGCTTTAGACTCGGCCACCATGCGGCGGGGGAGCGGCCCCACGGGCGGCCATCGGCGGCAGCAGCATGGCCGTCGGGCCGCTGAGCACCCGGACGGTGGACATATTCCGCAGGACCCCGGCCGCCGGGGACCCGGGCCCGGACCAGGAGGGCGACTGGGCATGGGCGCCGCCCGGGGACCCGGCCGCTGAGGGGCCGCTCTCGAGGGCCTGGTCGATTTGGCGCCAGATGTCCTCCGGGCCGGTGGCGGCGGCGGCGACGGCGGCCACCATGGCAGGCCCCGGTCCGGCCTGTCTCGCGTCGGGGGCGGCCCGCAAGGTGGCACCCGCCAGAGCCGACATCGGCAGCAGGTCCGCCCCGCGCAGGGGCCCATGCTCCGGGGTGGCGTTGACCGAGTGCTCCGGCGGCCAGGCGACTGGGCCCTGGGGCCCCGGGGCGCCGGCCTCCGGCAGGGTGCCCTGCTGCCAGCGGGCCAGGATGCGCGCGGTGGCCGGGTACTCGTACAGTGGCCCGGCGCCTGGCCGGGGGAGGTCCTCGGCCCCGGGCGGCCCGGGTGACGGCGGCCCGGAGGGGAAGTTCCCGAGCGAGCGGCTGATCCCGCGGAAGGCCCGGAGGAAGGGCTTCAGGCTGAATTCCCGGTAGCTGAAGACCGTGGCATTGAAGATCACCGAGGCCAGGGCCAGGACCAGGCAGAAGACGACGTGTTCCTGTGTGTGTGTGTGTGTGTGTGTGTGTGTGTGTGTGTGTGCGTGTGACGGGTCATGTGGTTAGCAGGTAGACAGGTCAGTATGTATGCGCGTGCGTGCGTGCGTGTAAGTGTAAGTGTAAGTGTGAATGCATGCACGGAAATGCATGTGTGGGCCTTTCGCCACTAGTGTGTGCTTGTGCACCAGCAAGCACGTTCTTGCATCTATCCCATACACACACACACACAAGCACACAAGACCACACACCCACGGTACGCATGTGCGCATTTGCCGCGATTCCGACCGTGTCCACGCCGTGGCATACATCGCCTGGAGCACACACGCCGACAAGAGGACACACACACACACACACACGCATGAACCCATGCGCAAGGGTGCGCCGGAGCCAGGCACGCGAGAAGGGCCCGGACAAGAGAGACGCACCACGCGCACGAGGAACTCCTCCCACTCGTCATACCCGGTGGCGGCGCTGTCGGCCAGCAGGCTGGCGGCCAGCGGCCCGGGGCTGGAGCCCTCCGCCCGGGCCAGCAGGCGGCCGACCATGGCGGCCGTGGCGGCCACCGTGGCACTCGGCCCGGTGCCCGAGCGCGGGGCCAGGGCAAACTGCAGCCCCACGAAGATGCCGGTGACCACCACGCGCAGGGCGATGGTCAGCTTGATGGCCGCCAACTTGCGGGTGACCGACTTCCGGCCCAGCGAGGCGGCATAGCCCCGGCGCATGGTGCCGATCCCCTGGGCCGGGTACAGGCGGCCGTCCTCCCCGAGAAAGCGGTCCTCCTCGGACAGGAGGTCCTGCCCCGGGGCCGGCGGCTTCCGGGGGCCGGACGACCGCAGCGGCGCCAGGCGCCGAGCCTCCGACTCCCCCCCGCGGTCGAGCTGCTGGTCCTCCTCCGCCTCCGGGTCGTCCTCATCGTCCAGGCCGAGGTCCGGGTCGGTGGTGGACCCGCCGCCGAAGCCGGGGTCCGAGTCGCTCGGGGACAGGCTGCCCACGTCGGAAGACATGTCCCCGAGCCAGAGGCCGGCGGAGGTGTCCCCCGGGCCACAGGAGGCCCCCGGGTCTTGGGGCTCCCCGGCGTCCGGGACCTCCTTGACCGGGGGCCAGGCGCGTTGCCAGGGCCGGGGCTCGGCCGGAGGCGCGTCCGGGGACAGTGGGCCCAGCGGGACGACCGGCCCGCCGGCGCCGCCATCGGCCCGCAGCCACTGGTCCACCTCGCGCCCTGGCGGCCAGGCGCCCCGGCGGGGGAGCAGGCGCAGCGGGCCGTCCGAGCGCGGGCTCCCAGCCGCCGAGGCCCCATGCCCGGGGCCCAGCAGGGCGCCCGGCCGCTCGCACATGAGCCCCAGCTGGGTGGCATTCAGCAGGCCCAGGGTTTGGGTGGCGTGCACCCGGTCCGGGTGGTGGATGTCCAGGCGCTTGAGGTACTGCAGCGGGCTGAAGCGCCGGTAGTGCGGCAGCAGGGCAAAGTACACGGCCAGCAGGGCGGCCATGGCCCCGAGCAGGGCCCCGCCGGACACCAGGCGCGTGGCCAGATCGATGATCAGCCGGACCCATGCCGGGGCCAGGGGCGAGGCCGGCCGGAAGGGCGACGTCAGCAGCAGCCACACCACCGTGCTGATGACCTTGACGAAGGCATAGTTCAGCAGCAGCAGCTGGTGGTGGCGCAGGGCCAGGCGTCGGAGGGGCTTGCGCCGGAGCTCCGCCGACCGGCATGCCCGGCGGATGATCCGGTCCGCCCGGTGGTCGCCGCCCTGGCCATGTCCGGGCAGGGGCAGGGGCGGGGGGGGGGGGGGGGGGGGGGGGGGGGGGG